CAAAAGGTCAGCTTGCACTGCAAGGTTGGTGGTTCAAATGCACCAGCCACTCCTTGAAACCCTAAACAGAGTTTCTATGAGTCAGAGCAGACTCAACAACACTAAACAAAACAACAACAGAGGATTCAAGTTGTGCACACTTATAAATCCCGTGCTGCCAGTAGAGAGCCAATGGAGACAAAAACAAGTCTTTAATGCCATACCTTCCTTTTACAAAACAAAGGCATCAGTTACTGAATAAGCCCAAACCCTCTCAGGAAAACAAGGCCTGCCACTTACGGTTAACTGACACTTGTCTCTCTGCACCATCATGAGGCTGGCACAGGACTCAGAAGGGCTTGGTTCCATTGTGCATGGATGGGGTCCTCGTGAGTTGGGAGCTAACTCCACAGCACCTAACAACAACATATCCAAAAGTACCAACCTGGTCTTCTGCCTCATTCCATCTTTTCAGGGATGGAAATGAGCCCTGGTGTGGCGCTGTGGGTTAATATGCTGGACTGCAATGTCGGCAGTTCAAGCTCACCAGAGGCTCCTCAGAAACCCTATAAAGGGTCACTATGAGTCAGAACTGACTCGATAGCACTTAACAACAAAACAACAACAAATGGGGGAATGTATGATTACTGCCCCATTTATAATAATTTGTCCTTACCAAGAAGGACAAATAAGCAGTGAGATAATAATCAATGCTACTTCCTACCTCCAGCTCTGTGTTTTAAGCACAAAAACAGCTTAGAACATTTGGGAAATTCTACAACATATTTGAGAAACAGCTTTCATAGCTTTTTCAACTTTTTTAATTGCTCATTCTCTACTGTACTCTTACTTTGTTTTCCTGAACAAACGTTTGATGCTTTTTTTTTTCTTCCTTCCATAAACTCCATAGTAGCATTCACTTGAAATATTTCCCTCTTCCTGCCTAGATAACTGTTGTGAAAAGAACACCAAACTTAAAGGCAGAAACCTGGACTATCATCCCACCTTTGTCATTTTCTACTTCTTTGACATCAGCCAAGTCACTTAGCTTCTAGTGAAAATAAGAATAATTGGTTCCACATATGTCACATGTGCAAGCTAGGTCTTTTAATATGTGTATCATCATCATTTTCCCTTCCAGTTTATTCTGATATGAGACATTTTCTACCTAGTCTTGGAAGTAGCCCACTCATAAATTGAGGACTCCCATCCAAAAAGTGACTGAAAGCAGAGAATATCAGAAAGATGTTTACCTGTGCTTTATTGACTACACAAAGGCTTTCAATCCTGTGGATCATGACAAGCTATGGAAAACATTGTAAAGTATGAGTATTCTGAAGCACTTAATTGTAGTCATAAGGAATCTGTACATGGACCAAGAGGCAGTTGTTCAAACAGAACATGGGAACACTGAATGGTTTAAAATTAAGAAAGGTGTGGAACAAGGTTGTATTCTTTCACTATACTTATTCAACCTATATGCTGAGCAAATAATCCCAGAAGCTGGGTTCTATGAAGAATAACATGGCATCAGGATTGGAGGAAGACTCATTAACAACCTGTGATATGCAGATGATACAACCTTGCTTAATGAAAGTGAAGAGGACTTAAAACATTTGCTGATGAAGATCAAAGACCACAGCCTTCAGTATGGATTACATCTCAATGTCAAGAAAACAAAAATCCTCACCACTGGACCAATAAACAACATTCTTATCAATGGAGAAAAGATTGAAGTTGTCAAGGACTTCATTCTTCTTGGATCAACTATCAACACTCACAGAAGCAACAGTCCAGAAATCAAACAACATATTACATTAGGCATGAGCCCTTTTTTAAAGTGTTGAAGAACAAAGATGTCAGCTTGAGGACTAAGGTGCACCTGACCCAAGCCATGGTGTTTTCAATAACCTTATATGCATGTGAAAGCTGGACAGTGAATAAGGAAGACCATAGAAGAATTGATGCTTTTGAGTTATGGTGTTGGAGAAGAATATTGAAAGTGCCATGGGCTGCCAAAAGTACAAACAGATGTGTGATAGAGGAAGTGCAGCCAGAGTGCTCATTGGAGGCCAAGATGGCCAATCTTCGTCTCTCATACTTCAGACATTTTGTCAGGAGGGACCAATTGCTGGAGAAGGATATCATGTTTGGTAAGGTGGAGGGTTAGAGAAAAAGAGGAAGACCCCCAAAGAGATGGATTGGCCAAGTGGCAGCATCGATGGACTCAAGCATGGCAACAATAGTGAGGTTGGCCCATGATTGGGCAGTGTTTCATTCTGCTGTGCATAAGATCACTATGAGTTGGTACTGACTCGATGACACCTAACAACAGCAACAACAACCCAAAAAAACTCAGAAACCTGAGCTACCAAACTCCAGTAGAATATTGAGAAATGTCACCAGTTTCTCTGCTGGTGTCTATCCTTAGTCACAGACTTTTCTTGCCAGCCCCTCTCTGTCTTCATCTTCACTGGCTCTCTGCCTGCAGGTTGGCTCACATGAGTCTGCACAACCTGAGACCTCTAGTCATCTGAGTGTCTCCTTTATGCCCTAATCACAGAACTGTTTCTCAAATGTGTTGTAGAACTCCCCAAGGTGTTATACGGATCTGAAGGACTTGGGCTGGGATCATTGACTTTGACAGGATTGATGCCTATCTTTTTTTTCCTCCTTCCCTAGAGGCAGTATCAAGAATGGAAAGGCCCTTGTTCTCCTCTTGTCTCCTCGTTCTCTTACTGCTACTCTTCAAGAGCCTAAGCTTGGACTGGGCATGGACTACCCCTGACTGCACCATAGGAGACAGCTACCTTCTATCTAACATCTCCTTCTACATCCCCTTCTGTTCCTTGGCACCAGGACTGCACCTTTTTGCATCATGCTCCAATGTTAATGACCTGACTTGGACTCTGACAGCACTGCCCAGGAGATTAGAGGCACTATGCCTCCAAGGCAGAGTTCCTGTGCTACCAGCTGATGTTTTTGGACGCTTCCCCACACTAAAGTTGCTGAGGTTGCAGCTAGGCTCCATCAGGATTACATCTGGAGCGTTCCAAGGATTGAACCAGCTGCAGCATCTTTTCTTTGATTATCCCACTCCCTGTTGCCTGAGTTTATTGCTCCCTCCAGATGTCCTAAAGCCCCTCAGATCCCTCAGCAGCCTTTCATTCCAAGGTTATTGTCTGAATTCTAGTCAGAACATCCAATTGCCTGTCAGTCTCCGTCATCTGACCCTGAGTCACAGCTGTCTAACAGAGCTGCAGGAATTGAGAAAGCTCTTCCCCAGCCTTGAGCCTAGTTCTCCTCCTGTAGCTAACTCTAGCCTATGGTTCCCATTCCTAGAGGTTCTGGATCTCTCTGCCAATCGACAGTTGAGTCGGGCTGGTGTCAAAGCCTTGCATGGCCTCCAACTTCACTCTCTGAAGCTGGATGGCACCCCACTAAGTACATTAGAGCTCCTAGGGTCAGGACTGCTTCACATGAATTCCCTCTCCCTTGTGAATACAGGTGCAAAAAAACTGCCTGAGCATGTCACAGCCTACTTTGAGCTTCATTCACTTGACCTTGGGAACAACCAAATCCAAAATATAGGGAATGATGACCTCTCAGGCTGCCACTCCCTGGAACACCTCAACCTTCATGCCAATGGCCTGTGTTCACTACCCACCAGGTTCCTGAGTGCCTTGCCCCTGCTTCAAAGGCTTAATCTATCAATGAATAAGTTGGGTCCAACCTTAGCAATCCCAGAGGTGCTGGTCAGCTCAAATTTGAAAGTATTAGATCTGTCCCACAATGGACTCAGTGCTCTCCATTCTGGGGCCTTCTTCTCTCTTCCTCAACTACAGGAGCTTTGGCTGAGTGGGAACAATATCTCCAACTTATCCAGTGATGTGCTAGAGGGATTGACATGGCTAAAGACCCTCGATCTGAGTTGGAACCAAATTAAGGTGCTGGAACGAGGCTGGCTTTCTTCTCTTCCTGCTCTCACCTCACTGAATCTCCTGGGCACCCAGATAGAATATTTCTCTGGTCACTCGCTCCAGGGTCCCCAGAAGCTGAGCCATCTGTGGCTGGGTTCTCTTCAACCCATGGAGCTCTACCCTCCATGGCCTTTGACACTGCTCAGCTTAGAGGTCTGGGCAGAATCATACATCCAGTTTAGTGTCCCCTATGGAGAACCCTTCCTGTTCTTGCAGAACCTTACCTTACAAACCAATTTTGTGTTGCTGCATTCAAGGAATACCACGCTCCATTTCCCTTCCCTGCGTCACCTCACCCTGCGAGGCTGCAGCTCCAGTGTTTTCTCTAACTCTCAACCCCAGAACTTCTTCCCACAGCTTCCTTTTCTGGAGCACCTGCATTTCTGGTCTGATCACGACGGAACTAAAGGTCTACAACTGTTTGGGATGCCCAATCTGCGAGTACTGGAGCTGGGAGACCTGGATAGCCTCTATGAATCAAGCCCAACGAACCTGGAGGTGCCACTGAAAGCACTACCAAAATTAGAAGTACTGGCATTGAGCAACCTGAACTTTAGGAACCTCTCGGCCTCCAGTTTCAGGGGCTTGAGGCAACTCCAGATGCTGTTGCTGAACTCTGAATGGAGCCTGAGACTGGACAGCAGCCTCCAGGAACTCATCCCCCAGATGCCTCAATATGTTTATTTCTCAGATGTCATCTTCAAGTGCCAATGTGAAAGCTCATGGGTAGGTTCTTGGGCAACACGGGCCCCAAACACCTTTGTGTATGGACTAGAGAAATCCATTTGCATGGCCAATGCCTCTGATTTCTCCAAGACTCCATTTCTTTCTTTCTTTTCTGGTCACTGTCCAGATAACCTTGAGCTTCAGGGCTTTCTAGCCAGCTTCACTGTGGTGCTCCTGCTGATCATATTTGCTTTGCTTGGCTGCCCTAAGTGGCCCTGGCTCCACCACCTCTGGACCCTATTTCTTGCCTGGTGGTGGAAGTTGGGTGGCTGGTACCACAGAAGTCAATATCACTATGATGTCTTTATATCCTGTTGTGGGCAGGACCGAGCCTGGGTGCTGGCAGAGTTGATTCCTGCTCTGGAGAAGCCTCTTCCAGCTGGTGAGGGCTTGAGGATATGCCTACCAGAGAGGGACTTTGGGGTTGGACAGGACAGGGTGGACACAATGGCTGCCAGCATGGAGAGCAGCCGAACCACCCTGTGTGTGCTCAGTCGCCAGGCCCTGAACAGTTCCTGGTGCAATCTAGAGTTAAGGGTTGCCACCTACTACTTGGTAACCAAGCCTAGAACTTTTCACCTCCTGCTGCTCTTTCTGGAGCCTATTGATCGGCAGCAGCTGCACAGCTATCATCGCCTTGCCAGGTGGCTTCAGAAGGAAGACTACTTGGATTTTCCCCAAGGGCGTGCTGAGTGGGAGACTTTCTGGGAGCAACTTCGGAGAAGGCTATGGGAAACTGTACAAGAGAGAGAGGATTAAGGCCTGTAAAAGAGAGACTTGACCATATGTCAATAACTTTCAATAGATTTCTGGGTCACTGCGGCATCGTTGGAGAACATGCTTACAATGGAGTCTGTAGGCTATGCTCAGCTCATGCCCAGTTGCCCACTAAAAAAAATAAGATAAAGAAATAAAACCCTAATGAGGTAATGTATTTAAAAGCAGTTGGAGGTAAACAAGGTTTTCATTAAAAAAAAAAAAAATAGATATAATATCTGCTAATCCTCTCACAACACAGGCACCCACTAAGAAAGAAAAACACAAGAATATGTTTTCTAGAATCATATCTGCATTTTTTCAAAATGAATTTATTCTGCCTCTGTTGAAAGCAATGCATTTAGGACTTGGTAAATCTACTTTATTTTGGAAGAAAGGGGCAAGAGTCAGTAAGCTATTTGTTAGTGCCCTGAAGTTGAATGAAAACAAAATTGGCAATTCACAAAATACCCAGCAAATTCCAAGAGCTTTCCTAACCCATGATAATCTCGCAATAACAGTATGCTCTAGGTGGGAACAATACTTAGATCCCATATGACACATAGGATATCTAAACATATAAAGGTTACGTGATTTACAACACTGCTAGAGCTAGTATATCACAAAGTTCAAATCTGGACCTAGTTCCTCTGAGTCACAATCTAGTACTTCATATTTGCTACTCTGCTATCTGCCAGTCATCTCTGTTGTTGTGGTTAAGTGCCATCAAGTTGATTCCGACCCATAGCCACCCTCTATAGGGTTTCCTATATCACAGGTCAGCAGTTCAGACGGACCCGCCTGAACCGCCTACTTGCAGTTCAAACAACGTTGCAGTACAGAGCATTAACCCACAGCGCCACACCAAGACTCGACAGTTATCTCTAACCAATGACAATTGACTATGCTAAAAGTTAAAATGGGCAAACATGTGGCAAATATCTTATAAGTACACACACATATAATCTATTTTTAAGAACTGTTTATGAAAAGAAAAAAAAAATCACATATTCCCTTAAATTTCCATAAAAATGTTTTCTATGTCCTGGTGTAGCACTATAGGGTAAGCACTGGACTGAAAGTTTGTTTTGAACCACAAGACCAGCAATCAAAGTCACCAGCCACTCCTTAGAAACCCTACATAGGGTCAGTATGAGTCACAATCAACTCAAAGGCACTTAACAACAACAACAAATAGAGAAATCGTTAAATAAAAAAGAGTTCATTCATAAGAATAAAATACCATCAAGCCATGAATAATCCTGTGTAAAGAAATATTTAATACTATGGGAAAGACTCATGATTTAGTATTAAACAAAAAATTTACAAACTGCTTATATTTTGATTACAATTTTGAAAACAAAATTGAATATATATCTAATATATATTCAGAGAGAAGACTAGAAATGTAAACTAGAAATGACCCTAGAAATGGGATTATAGTATTTCTATGTATTATTCAATTTTTCTACAATAAACATCGTTATTTTATATCAAAATAAAATAAGTTATTTTCCAAAATAATTTAGATAATAAGTTGATTAAATAATTTAGCTATGTTAAAAATAATTCTCAACTTTGTGATGATACAGTAGCAACAAGAGCTTGTGAGAAGTTGTTGTTAAGTGCCATCGAATTGGCTTTGACTCATAACAACAAAATTTCAGCTGGGTGGGTCCATCTGAACTGCTGACCTGTGGTTAACAGATCAGCGCTTACCCAACAGCACCACACTAGGAAAAATGTGTGGGTACTGAAATATAAAACACACAGGAAGAATGAAAAATCACCGTAAACAAACTGTACCCACTTTAGTGACTCATCCTTGAAATGCCATTCCCTGGCTAGCCTAAGGAGTCACTCAAATTTTGCCTCAGAAGTAGAAGCTTCTCACATTCATTATTTCTGCATAAAATACCAATTTCTTCACTTGTTGAATGTACTCCTTATTGTCCTATAGCATAACTCTGCGACTTTGCTGATCAAAGCACAATCCAATGCATCCTTTCATTTGTTCCTTTGTTCTGATGTCAATTAAAGGTCTTTGGAAAATGTGATTCATTTTTATCCATTGAAATCAAAACCTCAAATTCTCAATAAAAGCAATATGTTTTATATCATTTTTTTATGGCATTGAAGTTCCCCTGCAACGTTTCATTTTCTTTTGACACTTCTTGGATGTATATCAGGGAATTGCAGGGGTGACATAAATTTGCATCTGATGCTTGCATCCCCTCTACCCCTTGCCTGGTCTGATCAAATGCATGATAGAAAGTAGCCTCCTTCCAAGGATACTCATTTCATCACTTCAGGTTCTCTGTTATAAAGTTATTATCTATGAGGAGACTTCAAAAGGTTAGAGAAAAATGGAGTTGAAAGATGATGGAATTTTTTCATGTCTTCCTATAACTTTTACTCATTACTCCTAATTTTGTAGTATGAAGTTTTAGTGGGACAAATGAAATTCCTCCATTAATTGATCACTCTTCATCTGTTCCAATAGTCTTCTGTTCTCCAACTTACATATCCCATCCCTTCTACTCATTTTCATATTTCAAGTTCGTTTTTAATTTACTCTCCCCCAAATCCAGTGCCTTTTGTTCTGAAACTATGAAACTCAGAACTTTCTGGAGTATTTTAGCTAAACCATATAGAATCAAATAGGATCATATTCTCCCTGTTTAAATCATTGCTTCTTTTAAAATCACATTATTTGTTGCTGATATATATATAATATATATTACTGCTGATATAGATGTTTACTTTTCTCTGGCTGACTTGGAATTGAAAGAACAAATCTACAAAATAAGTGAAACAATAGCTTACAGTCAAATGCTAGCATAACAGTAGGTTGCTGCTGTTGTTGTTGTTAGGTGCCATCGAGTCTGTACCATAGTGACCTTATGCACAGCAGAGCAAAACACTGCCCGATCCTGGGCCAACCTCACTACTGTTGCCACGCTTGAGTCCATTGATGCTGCCACTTGGCAAATCCATCTCGGTGGGGGTCTTCCTCTTTTTCTTTGACACTCCGCCTTACCAAACATATTCTTCTCCAGTGACTGGTCTCTCATGACAATATGTCTGAAGTATGAGAGACGAAGTTTGGCCATCTGGAGCCTCCAAGGAGCACTCTGGCTGCATTTCTTCCAAAACGGATCTATTGGTTCTTTTGGAAGTCCATGGCACTTTCAGTATTCTCCTCCAACTCAAAAACATCAGTTCTTCTACAGTCTTCCTTATTCACTGTCCAGCTTTTGCATGCATATGAGGTTATTGAAAATACCATGGCTTGGGTCAGGTGC